GGGGCTAGTATTGTGTCATTCTTATGTGGCTGATCAGGCTGATCTGGAGGATCCGGGTCATTAGGGCGATCTGGGTCCCATAGCATGTGATCCAAGATTGTTACATAGACTTACTTAATATTAATGATTTTTGTCTAGCTTCTCATTACTTATGATTAATATCTTACTATTGATTAGAATAAACTTTAAAGCTTCAAATTGAAATATATCAGCTTAGAATTAACTTCTTATGATTGTATAGTAAAGTTTGCTATTATTAGTTTTGGATTTGAATTGATGGGCTTATATCAAAATTAGATTAAAAGCCTTTTTTCATGTAATTTTTTTTGCTTTGATATGTTTTTAATCTATAATTATTAGAAAAACCAAAAATTTCATTTTTATATAGCCTAACTAAATTTAGAAGATGGTTTTTTTACTGATTAAGTATAACATAAATTGGAAACCAGTTAATCAATTATAAAGATAATAAATTTTTTTGTAACTAGGTTAATTTAAACCTTAAATCTTTTTCTGATAACTTATGAAACATTATTATTATGCTATAGACCTATATATCAATATTAATTTTATTATTATTATTATTATATAATAAATAATATGTATAATTAGTAATATAATTAAAAATTAGTTATTAGTTATTATTTTTATTTTTAAGAATTCTTAAAGTTTTATATGTATTACTTATAATTTAACAGATTATAATTAATTTATTTTATAAAAATATTAATATAATAATTATAAATATTATATTTAAAGTATTTAATACTTATAAAAAAAATAAGAATAATAAATTTTTTAATTTAAATATCAAAAATATAAATATAAATATATTTAATTTGATAAATGCTTATTAATAAAATATAAAATTATGTATTGTATATATTTTTAAAATATAATAAATAAAATATTAAAATTTCAAATAAAATTAATATATTTATTTTATATAGTAATAATTTTAAAATATGCAATATTTTGTTTGAATATTATACATTATATGCAAATACTATAAATAAAATTTTTTTGAAATTATTATTTGTTTGTTTGTTTGTTTTGATAATTATCAATTGAATTTAACTCAAATTGATATATATATTCAAAGTGATATTAAAATAGTAACAATTTATAATAAATTTAATATATAGATTAGAATTTATTTTATTAAACTTATAATAAATTCAATATTGACTTGGTACTAAAATAATATTTTTAGAAATTCTAGCTACAATAAATTGATTTTTTATAAACTATGAATTTTTATTCTATTGAATTAATAACTATCATAAAATCAAATTTCTAAATAGTTAAAAAAATTTTTTATGACATCTAGTAAATTAATTAAACAAAATTTTTGTATTAGCATATAACAGTTTTATTCAAATCAAATCAACGAATGTCAACTTTAAAAAAAATATTTTTTTAAAAATCAAATTTTCTTGATAACTATTAATCCAATTTAAATAAGATATTTTTATAGGTTATAAAAAAATGGAACGTTTATTAATTATAAAAATTTTATTTTGGGATTTTTGGCTGCCACTGTTGATAGAATCGTCGTGAAAGCGAAAAGATAGGCTTTCTTCAAAAAGTTTGACAAGGTAACTTTTTGAAAGTCTAAACTGTTATTTCAAATTATTCGGAGTCATGGTCGGGTGCGGGAAAAATGTGAAAGACATCACCTTTAAATTTGCGAAAGACATGGAATATGAACAATAAGTTTATCTTTGTCATTCACTATTTTAATGACGGCATAGTCATTTATGTCCATTTCTAAGAAAAAGAAGTTGAATTGACTATTGATTCATTAAATCAAAATTGTATCCTTTATTATTCATTAGATTTTTCTACTGCGACTGTTTCATACATGTTAGCATGAAATATCTTTATAGTTTGCGTTATACTTCTAATCTCAACGAATATAACATGGGCTATGCGTCTAAATAAAAATAATATATACACGCGCTATTAATACATGGTCCTGCGTAAATATAGAAAGCTAATTTTAAGGGCTCTGTGGAATTTTCACATCTCGAGAATTCCTGCATTTTATATGTTTCACGTGACTTTTTACTTATGGTATTCGATATCCAAATTTTTCTATATATCCCTAAATTATTATAGCACGGAATTCCATTCGAAAAACAATGGTGCATGAATGCCGCACGGAGAACACCCCGTGTCATTTAAAATTAGAAATAAATCTCTGCTGTGAAGCAATATATTTCATAAATTTAGACTCCAAGTTGAATCCGGGTGCAATGTAATTACAGTTAAAGTTTCTCCTGCAAATTCACTTCGTATCAAGTGTATCGCTTCTGGTAGTCTGATTACAGTAGATAATTATCGCGTGAAATATTCAATTCTATCGAGCTATGTGAGAAGGCATGTAGAAACACGTTATTTGTGTTGTAAACACTGCGTTACACTCGTTATAATTAACAATCGAAAATTTCTTATGCGCGATTTTTCACTTATTCGTAGAAATACTTACATTTACTTACTCAAAAAATCAATTGTTTGCACACGAATTTTCTAACCGTATATATGTAGGCACATAAGTATCATGCTCCATAATGAATTTTCGTCTTACTTGATTGTTTATGTAAAGTTCTCGATAAAATAAAGCATTTATTAGTCCGCCCTAACATGTGTTGTGGTTGTAATAAAAATCTCCACGCTAACAGAAATTAAGTTCCAATTTATAGTTGAGATTGATGAAGTCAAGGAAACACAGCTGAGAATGCAAAATCTACAACAGAGATAAAGATCAACTCTATCGCTAAATTAGATGATAATACTTCTTATGGAACGAATTCCATTTTATTTTTACATTCATGGTTAACACTTGTTAAAAATTGCATGAATGTTTTGATTGGACGCGGATAAACTACAGACGGATTTTTTTATTTTGATCTAAAGCATTATGATCGATAGCGTAACTCGTGCTCTGTATTATGATCTGGAAATATTACTAATTTGTTTTACATTATTATTTTACACTCTTGTTTTCCTAAGATGGATATATGCCTGCTCCATCATATGGCTTTAGCGTTTCGAATCGAACTTATAAAAAGGAACAATTGGACTAAAAATTGTGACAATTGCCCAAATTTTCCATATCTGGGTACTTGATGGAATGCCGAGATCCAGGGTTTGTGGTAAAGTTAATCAAAAAATTAATCAAATTTATGAATAAAGAATTTGAAGTCTATATTACTCGTAAGCTTTGTACATTGTCAATGTGATACGATGAAGGATAGAAGTGTATGAAGTCGTTGAAATTATCACCTACGATACGCGTTAATATGAGCAATAACGCCTTAGCCTATTGTTAGGTGGAAATCAATAATTGCGATGAGTTCTTAACTAATCAACCTTCGTGCATAAGATGTACATAAATAACCGATTATTTTTGATTCATTTTTTTTTCTTCTAACATATAGCCTCCAGTTAATGTTGATCCTTAAGGTTGCATTTGATTGCATTAGAACCGCTTTTCGTCACTTTCGACTTTACCTTTTATCCCCTTCAGAGAAATCATTCGAAAGATCATTTCTCGAGAAAAATCCCTGGAAGGTAAGATGAAAACGTTATTTAAATGATCGAATTCCAACTATTTCGATAGTTTAGATTCCCTTGCCTTCAGAAGAAAGAAAACCTACCTTAAAACTTATTAGAGAAATGCCGAAAGTCAAATCTGATAAAAAACCTACCAACATTAACACCAACGTTAATCCAATCATTACCAATTATCCACCTCTTCAGCCTGCACCCGTGATTCATGCCTTACCACCCCCTAAATTTAATGATTCGCATTTATTTAATGGAGCATTGGTTTTTCAGGACCAGCGACTTACTGAAGAGGAACACGCATTACTTCGGAATCCACCGTATCAACTTACCTTGTGTCTTGAAGTGCTTCTTTCTCCAGCAAGAAGAAATCGTAAGAACAAAACTAAACCGGAGAATAAAATTCCGAGACCGCAAAACGCCTGGGTTCTGTTCCGAAAAGATTATGAGGCCAGTCAACGCATGCAATTCCCGGAAAAAGCGTTGAAAATGAAAACCGTCTCTACTGACGCCGGTGACGTTTGGAGAAATCAATCGTCGCAAGTCAAAAGATATTTTGAGATTCTTTCTAGACTTGCGCACGAATATCATAAAGCAATGTATCCGAATTACAAGTATACTCCCAAGAAGAAGCAAAAAGATATTATCAGCAACAAAGATTGGATTTTCCATAATGGTGTTAAAACCTTAGTTGCAAACGGAGTTACTCAGGTGATGCAGGTCGCAACTCCTGAGGAATCATCGGCGCTTGACAATTCTTTCGTTTCCACATCTCCTCATTACTATTCGTCACCAACTTCACCACAATCTACGCTCGCCTTTTCAATTTCTCCCGATTGCTCACCGATATCACCATCAGAAGAGTCAAAGTCATCTTTGTGCGTTGGTGAATTCCTTTTCTCACCCAATGAATCTCAATCAATCTCCGATGTCAAAGGTTCTTATGCTGGATCGTCAACCAACATAGGAGAATATGATACCGATTACGACATATTTCAAAACTTCATATTATCTACAACAGTACTCGGTAACAACCCTCCGATTGCCGGAAGTGGAATTGGCACTGATATTAAAAAAAACGAAAACTTCCGTAATATTGATGATGTATCGTTTGCGGACACCCTCTTATACGACCCCATTTCGTCCGAATTTGCGACTCGTAACAACGAATTCTTTTACGAAACCAACAATCTCGAGCATACGGATTCATATAATATGAATTCATGTAATGAAATATCTACTGTGGTGTCCACTGTTGAATCAAAGATGATTGTCAATTATTCGGAAGCATTACCACCGTCAAGTGTTATTCCCGATTATATGATGCATGAATATAATAATGGATGTTTTTCGGATATTTCCGCGGATACATTTTTCAACCAGCATTCTAGTTCTTTAGAATTTTAACTGTTTATAGATGCATACGAATATATATGTAATTTCATTTTCCTTCTTCTTTACTACCGAAGCTACTTCATTATTCTCCGTACATTTTTTCACGCGCATTAATGCCATTTAAGAATCTGATTAAATAAGCAATCGGATCATATTTCTTAACATATGAAAACGATGTATGAACATATGAATAGAGCGAAAATTTTTGATTTATTTTGTAAGATACCGGAATTTCTTTGTAATATTAAATTGAAAATTCAGATTATTATTTTTAATAACGCATGCCATCTATCTTTCCGTTACACACGTGTACACAAAAGTGAGTCGGAGCTTATTTCTTAGCTTGGCAGTTTCAGATACATTACTGTATTCTTTCTGTTAAATTGCCTCAAACTACCATGAGCGCTTCACAGAACAATGTAAAACCCAATTATAAGTTTGTATCTTAGTTATTCACTAATAATAATACAAAGAGGTTGCTTCCCTTGTACCTCTACATCCTTAAATATGTTAATAATGCCCTTTCTTTTCAAGACCTTGTTCTTACCTTTTTTTTATACAGGCGGATATCTCACATATTGTGAGAATCATTATCTCAAAATCCATTGACTTCCTTTCTATTATTTCTATCTATTATTTCTATTATTATTATATTTATTACGTATTTCTCTTGACTATTTCATTACTTCCTGTGAACAAATGCATGTTGTGGGTACAATCGCAGTCCTGGGTACGTGATTTTCGCGTAACTGACGATCGGATTCAGACTTTGAACATGTCTCGGGCTTTTAATAAGTGAAATAAAGACTCATCATTATTGTTATTATTATTTGTATCTATCATAAAAATTAGCAGCCAATCCCGAATAACATATTTGACTAAGGTATACAGTATATTTACAGTATTTTCGTAATACTAAAAGTATAAGTATTTCTAATTAAATTATCCGACAGAATTTCCAAATAAGTGATTTTTATCTGACATTTTTTGAATAAAAAAAAAGTTGATTTTATATGAGAATTGTTCTTTTTAAAAAATTCATTTATAAACTTTGTTAAATCTACTGTATCGTACGGTATATTTTTAATTTACACATACTGTATGTTTTATTATACTGTATATACTTACAGTAAACATATAAATTTATAAAGTTTTTAAGTTTTAAAATGTTATTTATTGTTTTAATTATTTAAAAATTAATATTGATACAGTATTTTGTTAAAATTTAATTAAAAAAAATTTTTTTAAAAGGTAATTACCGTAATTTTAATTCTATTATAATTTGAATAATAAAAATTATAAAAATTATTTTTTAAAAATTATTGCTTCAAAAAAATTATTCAATATTTATTCAAAAATCTAAATATATTTTATTAAATATTTTAATTATTAAGTAAAAAATTATCTTTACTTTTTTTTATAAACAAAAAAGCAAATCTAATTTTGTAATTTTAAAAAATTAATAGTTACTATTGATACCACAATGAAATTAATATCTGATTTAGTATTTTTAAATATTACAATAATTTTATTATTTTAGTAAAAATAAAAAAAAAAAACATTAAAATTTTTTATAAACTATACAAAGTTAAAAGTTTTTATCATACTATATATACTGTATATAAAAAAATTTAATCCAATTTGTTTTTGTTTTAATTTCAAATATTATAAATACATTATATAGTTGATAATTTTTAATTAATATAAACAAGCAAACAGTATTAATATAATTAAAATAAATAGTATTAATATACAGATTCAATAAATTTATATATTATGTCTCATTGTTATTTTAACATATTTCAATATATAAATTTATATTATACTGTAATTTTATATTTATCTTAATATATTAATATCTTTTAAATAAATAACAATAATAAATATATGTGTTGTCAAATAATATACTGTTTAAAAATAACAATTGTAAAAAAAATTTATATCATATTTATTTGATTAAATATTTTTTTATATCAATAATAAAATAATAATATTAGTCTTTTGTTATTAAATATTATTTTTATAAACAAAAAAAATTATATACAATAAATAATTATAAAAAAATTTCGTTTAAACCAAAAATCTTTTCAATTTTTTTTAAATTAAAATAAAAAACAAAACTTTCAATACATATATACAATATATATTTGAAAAGAAAATATTAGATTAATTAAAAATTTTAGAATTTATTTAATATAATTTTATAAAAAAAAATTTTTATAAATATTTATTCTATTCAAGAATTTAATATATAAAAATTATGTAATATAATTTGGAGCCAATAAATTTTACATAAAAATATTTTTCAGGATTCTTTGTAATTATATTTAAAAATTAATTACAAATAAAAATTTATTATTTAAAAAATAATTATGATTATTATTTGCAATTTTTAATTTAAAAAATTTGTTTTTATAATAAAACTTTATAAATTTCAATTCAATAAACTTAAAATTGATTAATAATGAATGTAATATTACATCTTTTTAATAAAAAAACCAATTTTTCATTTTAATTTATTAGCCATTAAAATAATAAGATTTTTAAAAACTTTTTCAAAAATTGTGTAATAAATTATACTTGTAATAATTCTTGATTTTAAATTTACTATATATTTTAAATAAAATCATTAATTAAATATTAATGAAATTTTGATTAGATTATAATATACAATATACTGGATACTGGATGTAAATGTACAATTAAATAATTTTAATTTGGTAATTTTAATTATTGAATAAAGATTTTTAAATATATTCTTAATTTCAAACATAATTTAATATAAAGTCTAGACAAACCATATTATTTGAGTTATATTATTCATTTGGTAAAAATTTTTAATAGGGAATTCTATCTCGAAGCGAAAGTTTTTTAAACGTCTTTTCCAAGAGCGCAGCAAAAGGTGTTGTTAAGAAGGGCTGTCGTTTAATTGTACAATTATATATTATTGATATCATACGTGGATATCGTAAATCACAAATTTAAAACTTGATCACATACAATATCTTGTTTATTATTATTATTATTAAACCCTAATTAATAGCCAACTGATAAGGTTCGGGTTTTTTATTACATTATACAAAATTCAAAATATTTACAATTCTAAAAAAAGAAAAAATGTTTTATATTATAAGAAATCATCAGGCGTTTCTTGGTGCCCGCCGCTCCCATAGAGGATGTATATGGAATTTTTTGTGCATAAAATAAAATATAAACTTTAATATTGTGTTAAACGTTAGATTAATTTACCGATTAAATAAATATTAGTACGATGGTGTAAGTGCGCGTGGTTTTCCGTTGATTACTATTGAAACGAGTGCATTCATGTTTTTGACGAATCCAACTGGTTAGTGTGGTTAGAAAATAATTGTGTATGTAACAATATATGCCAACGTGACATTCATCGTCATCATGCATATGCGATGAATAAAGTCGATTCATGGAATGTCAAAATCCTTGTCTTTTCTGCATTTGCATCACCAATACTGTAATAAGGATCGACTGTCAGTCAATAGAATTTCATGTAATTACCGTTTTATATTATTGTAGATCATCGAAGTGAAGTTTAATATCAAATTATCAGTTAACCTTTTCTGGATTTGCATTACTCACTCTAAATGCCTAAGAAGATTCCTAAAGTGATCGCACAAAGTCGAATCTCGTCCGTACGTAGGAATTCATGTGCATCGACAATCTATCATTAATTTACTATTATGATCCTACCCGTTAGCCAATGTAAACTTGATAAATATTTGAGACAAAGGTATTTACATCACGTGATTGTCCTTGTTCTTATCGTAAAGAGCTATTTACGTATCGTATTTTTCCCCGCTAATGGTGTAATCAATTCTTTGTCTTTTTTTTTTTTTTTAAAAAAAAAGACGACAAAAAAGAATATAAAAAGAACTTCGCTATATATTTTGGAATAATTTCCTTTTCTCTCTTCCAACAGACACCTCTCGGGTTTCGTGGATATTTCAAAATTTTGCATTTGTCTTCATTTCTAGCATTCTAGATATTATTCACCCTCCGACGAGGTATCTCTTCCCTCTCCTACTCAAAAAACACATCTCACATGATTATAGTAGATACATATTCATTAATCATTGTATAATAGTCTTTCCTGTAACCCACGTAGAGATTTTCCACGAAGTAGGACTTCCATTCCCTCCTTACATCACCATACCATATCATCCGTCATGACTACCTTCGATAATGATACCACCAATTACAACAATTTTGTCATATTCAATGTCAGTCATCTAAATCGCGCGTTATCCACAACCTTCGTACTTCTTTGGTCAGTCTATTTCATATTCTCCCAGAGCACTCCTTCTCAACCACCACCAGTAATAAGGCAATGGGCATCAATAAGTTTGCGTGGAATCGGAGTGTCATTACTGTTATTTTCCATGGCATTTGAAATTTTGGGAAATTTGGTAGCATACAGTAACAGTGATATTCGAAATGCACCGTCAATGCTTTCCGGATCATCTAAGGTCGCCTCGTCGATGCTATGGATGTTCGCATTGGGATTTAAATCCGTAACGTTGTTTATTTCGATTACTCGTTATTCCCCATTGACTAATGCCCTTTCTAAAGAACCAATAATATCGAACGCGCAAAAGAAATTGTGTAATTTTATAAACATATTCAATGGGTTCGTCTGTTATCCTTCGTTCATTATCATCATCGTCGTATTTGGCGATAATAATGGCATAAACTTAGCTCTCCTAATTCCTTGCCTGCATTATATCATTCAATTACTGATCGTTGAATTGATGTTTCTGTCATTGAATAGAAGAATGATGACGGTATTGAATGAAGGTTTGTTGGTGGGAAGGCAGGCAATACAACGAATTAGAAAATACCGGTCTAGGAATTGGTTTATCATTGGTTTCCTGGTTATAGAAATACTTTCTTTACTCGTTTATAGCATCGATCTAATGATGGACAATGTCATAAGCCGGAATTTCACTTTGGCTGTCATCATGTTCGAAGTAATAAGCATAAGTTCATCGTTGGTATACGGAGCAATCACTCTCATCCTGGGTCCTCATCATAAATCCACTCAGTCAATGTTAATCTATGAAGGTTCTCCTATAGCGTCAATGAATACTCCATACCAAGGACACGGACAAAATCACAGTCTAAGTGATTTTACCAATTCGATGGTTGCCGGAGGGGATAATAATTATCACAATCAGAGACGCGGTACAAGTTCCATCCTTCCGGGATTCACTTCGATCCGATTAAAATCTTATTTTCAGAGGCACAACGATTCCGCTCCCCTTTCTTTCGTATTTCCAAAACCACCTTCTCAAGCTCCCCTGAATAAACTGACAAACGATTCTTCGTCAGATCGATCATATTCTTCTAACAATAGCGATGAGAAACCGCCTTCCTCCATTGATACGAATAATGGAATTATTGTCAATAAGATTGTTATTCACAGACCGGGGAACTCTCTAGAATTCAAACAACCCGAGTTGGCTGTCATTAATGACAATTCTGGGAAACCTGATAGATTCTCTGCCATCTATTTTTAAGCCCAATGAGTCCCTTTCATTGTTATCTAAAAACACCATACAAGGATACCATCCCTCTTGTTAAATACACACGTACCCTTTTTATACATAATGTTATATATTTCTGAACATATTGCATTTCATTTATACATATTTTCACTCTCATTTCTTTCGTAGAAATAATACATAGATAGTAAGTGTACGCACACCTAAATAGATTATAGATACTATCTGCATTCATATATATATAGTATATATATATTCTCATTTGCATTTTTACCATTTTTTTTCATGTTTCATACCTTCATTTCTTTATTACAATTCTTGCTTCATCTACAATCAACCTCATCCCAACTTGTAGTATATCATTCTTTAAAAATTCATTTCACAAAAAACGGGCTTTCATAGATATGCGTATAATCAAATGTATGCAGTATATCAAAAAAAGAAAGCAAAAAAAAAATTTTTTTATCATACGCTCTTTGTAATTTTCACTGTTAAATTCATAATTGCATAGTCAATTTTCGACACACTTGATAAAGTGTACAAGAGGAACTATGAACAAATTTTTCTCTAATAAAAAATTAATCACAAAAAAAAATTCAAAAAAAAATAATTAGAAGGCTGATATGCGTACTTGCCAGATTTAAAACATTATTTGGATTCTTTAATGTAAAGAAATCTACATATGTATATAGAATATTGAAATGTGTTGTATTTGAAAAAAGATAAAATGGATGTATATAATAATATTAAAAATA